CTCGGCGGCGCCGCCCGGAACAGGCGCCTCCGGCGCGTCCCTTCCGCGGTGCCTCTGTTCAGTGGAGCCTTCGGAAATTGCAGGGTTCTTTCCTTTGGTAGTTCCCGCGACGGAGTTTGCAATAAAAAGAACTTCAGCGAGCCGAACTGAGAGTTGCTCCGTAGCATGGTCAACTCCATCTTAGGCAGAGCTGTTAGGTCCGCTGTTTTGTTTTGTTTTGTTTTGTTTTGTTTTTCCTCCAGTGTTCATTTCCCACATCTATAGGCTCTGAATTAGCAGGTAAGTAATCTGCAAAAGAAGTTTTCACAAAGACAGCAGTGTGTAAAAGAGGGCATGGAATCCTGCAACACCAAAATCAGTGGGGGTTTTTTTATGCTTTTTATTTTTTTAATTGTTAATTGCAGGATTTCATAGCCTTGTCCCTGAATATTCTGAAATGTAGCGTTCAGTGGTGCTGAAGCTGCAATTAATTTTTCCTTAATTATTTCCATTAAAAAAAATGTGAACAAAGAGTTCTTTTTGTTCAGTTGTTTTGGTTGCAAAACGAACGAGGTTCAGACAAAGCAGACATTTTGGCTACTGAACAGTTCACAGTACATGAGTGCTAAATAAATGAAATAGCTGGCAGTAATTCTGATCTGAGAAGAAACTCTATAGCTGTAGCTTAAGATGTAAAAACACTTTCTGGAGAAGATAATCTATGTCACCATTAATTTTAACTTTTTAAGGAAAGTTCAGAGGCTTCAGAATTGTTTCAGAAACTGTTAGATTCACAGTTTGTAAAGGAAATAATACTTGTTTTATAAAGCAGATTCATAAGATACTTCTGTATTAAAGCTATTTTATCCTTGTAGGTGTCTTCTTTCATATTTGAGATAAAAATGGCCGAAACAGCTCCCGATGCCTCTGAGAAACTGGTTGTCATTCACTCCAAAGCTCACAAAGATACCATTCTGGCCAATTTTGAAGAACAAAGGAAGAAAGATTTTCTTTGTGACATTACTCTCATAGTGGAGAACGTTCAGTTCAGAGCCCACAAAGCTTTGCTCGCTGCCAGCAGCGAGTACTTCTCCATGATGTTTGTGGATGAGGGTGAAATAGGGCAGTCAATTTACATGCTGGAGGGAATGGTGGCGGAGGCTTTTGGAGCGCTGCTGGAGTTTATCTACACTGGTTATCTGCATGCCAGTGAGAAAAGCACGGAGCAAATCCTCGCTACCGCACAGCTGCTCAAAGTGAACGACTTGGTGTGGGCCTGCACGGAGTACCAGGCCGGTCGCAGCCCGAGCAGCGCGCTGCCTGCGCCGTCCCGCTGCGGCCCTGCTCCCGCCGTGGCTGCAAGCGACAGCAGGAACCCGGATCCCCCAAAGCGGAAGCGGGGGCGGCCGAGGAAAGTCAGGAGCACCCAGGAAGAGAAATCAGAAGCGAATTCTGCTGAGGATGTGCAACTGAGAGAGAATAATTCCATGCAAAATAAACAAAATTTTATGAAGAAAGATGGCGCAGCAGAAGAACCAGTTGTCAGCGAGCAGGCTCCCGTGATGAAAGATGCGGAAGAAACTGAGCGGGCTTGCAGCTCGGAGGATGCTGTGGATCTGTCAGCTGAGAAGGATGAGAATTATGATCCCAAATCTGAGGGAATGCAGAGCGCTCAGAGCCGCTACAGCAAACGCAGAATAAAGAGGTCGATCAAACTGAAAGATTACAAACTTCTTGGTGATGAGGAGGAAAAAGGACTGGCAAAGAAAACTGATGGGAAAAAAAAACGTACCGGGTCTGAGGCTCGTTGTAAAGACTGTGGCAAAGTATTTAAATACAATCACTTTTTAGCAATTCATCAAAGAAGTCATACAGGTAGGCATTAAGATACTGCTGGTTTTGATTGAGTGACTTTCTGCTAAATGCAAAGCAGTTGTTTTAAGTGTGAACTGTTGGATCAGTGTGCTCTTTTGGGCAGTTCTTCCTGGAGACAAACTAGATCTGATGGGTCCCTGAGACTGTGTGCACTTTCTGGCTACCAGGCCTGCTTGCCTTTCTGTGTCTGACCTCGATTGCAGTTTGATTAAGCATTTCTCTGTTAATTCAATTCTCGTTGAATTATGTGACAATAGTTATTTTGTTACCAAATGAAGCTTGAGTCTTCTAATCTCCTTATCACTACTTAAAGGTCAGTTTTTCGTATGTCATGCATAGCAATGCATCTCACTATCAGCTTAGAATATCTACTGAGGAAATAATGCATTGATATTTGTAAATCTTGTGCTTTTAGGGGAGCGCCCTTTTAAGTGCAGCGAGTGTGGCAAAGGCTTTTCCCAGAAACACTCTCTTCAAGTCCATGAGCGGATGCACACTGGAGAGCGGCCGTACACGTGCACGGTCTGCAGTAAGGCTCTAACTACAAAACACTCTCTTCTGGAGCATATGAGCCTACATACAGGTAATTATTCTCCCCCAAACATTTGCATTTCTGAAAAGCAGTATTAATGATCTCTCTCACATGTGCTGGTTTTTCACACCAGCTTTGGATGTGGCTTGTGTTTTAATAAGTGTTTTTCTGTACAGGGCAGAAGGCTTTTACATGCGATCAGTGTGGGAAATACTTTAGCCAGAAGAGACAGCTCAAGAGTCATTATCGAGTACATACAGGTATAACAAGCTTGGATGGTAGAGCTGACTCGTTGTCCGTGTTGATTTGCCTTTGTAAAGACTGACTAAGGCTCTGAACGTTCTTCAGTGATATACTTAGGACTCTGTTACTCTGTGTGACATCTTGATTTAACAATGAATAGTGGGGAAAACACTGAATAAACAGGCATTTAAAAAAAAACTGATTAGAAAGAAGATAAACTGACAACGCTTTATCTGATGGTGACATATTAATTGCACTGTATTTGAAAAGCAACTTTAGTTTGAAAAGCAATTTTAGTCCTGCTCACTGTTTTGCATACTAACAGCAGGCATGTGCAAATTACCTTGTAATTTTTCACTGTTTTGCACTAGCAAACAAACTCTGGGAAGTGTCCTGCTCACTCGTGTTGTAAAAAGATAGAAGTTAGATTATACACACAGGAAATGATGGAAAAGTTAAGATTTTATAAAACTTCAAAAGCAAGTGGGTTTTGGGGTGAACAGGAGTTTGGTGCTGTCCCTTCCTGTAACAAAATTAAATAGGGAAATGGCAAGGAGTAATTCTGGTAGTTGAGTTAGAGGAGGCAGTGAATCACGTTTTGTTTTCTTTCTATATTATATCAAAGTGGTTATTTTACAGGAAAGTGCTATAACAAAGATCACTGAAGAGATACAGGGGATCACTTATGCACTGACACTTTTTTTATTATTGCGACAAGGCCGTTCATTGCCGGAATGTAACCAGTGTCGTCGCAAATTCATGGATGCAGCTCAGTTAAAGAAACATCTAAGAACACATACAGGTAATATGACCATCATGGCCATTCATACCATTCATATTCTCCCTTTACCTCTCTCTTTTTTCTTTTCTTCTTTTTTTCCTTGAAATAACACAGACAAAATAATGTGTTTGGCTTGACTGTCATCTTTGGGGAGTTAGCTTCCACTGTACTTGTATATTGCAATATGCATATATTTCAAGTGAAGAGGTGATTTAATGCAAGGGTGTTTTAAAAGATTTAGGGCAAAGTGAGACTTGAATGCCTGGATAACAGGAATAAAAACACTGTCATAACAACTAAGCATAGGCATCTTAAAGCGGTTTGCTTTGAATGGCTAATTCCTAGAGAAAATACCATAGCTGAACTTGGCACTTTGCACTGTTTGCTCTTACGATTTTTTTTTAAAGTTCCTGGATTATGGTTGGGTCAGCATTTGTGATTTGGGGCATTTTTGATTTATCCAGGGCAACATTTACTTTCAATTCTTGTGAATATTACATTTTTTGTTCAGAACAGCATAGTGTATGTTGAGATATAAATGCTCACGTGCATCCCCACGCCATAGTTCTGTATCTGAAGCTGATACAGTTCTGTAAGCCTAGAGGGAAGTGAGGGTGCTAGCTGGAAATGAGAGGAGGAAGGATAATAGGCAAGGTAAGTTGCAAAAACAGGTCTACTAAGATGAGCTCTAGCAAAAAGAGCCACAATAGATCTTGTTTCTAGAAAAGACAGGCTAGAGAGCAGTATGGAAACACCATTGATCTTCCCCAAACCTTGGGAAATAAAGTTTGGAGGATTTGGTTTTGTGAGGAATCTTGATGTTGATGGTACTGTCCTGTTTTGACAACAGCTCTGTAACACTGAGAATACAATCCAGCTTTGAAGTTCAACATTTCAACATTTTTTTTTCTGTGTCTGTCGTGCTTTCTCCTTGTCCCCCAAAACCGAAACTGATAAGCACTGCAGTTCTATACCAGATGGGAAGCTTGCCTGGATATCGGTCATTGCCTCATCCTCCATTATTTTCAGTGTGCTTGAACACTGTGAATTACCATAGCGGTGATTTGGATTCCCATATAGTGTCTTAAAGACACTGAATACAGCAGGAAAAATGTTATCCTGTGAATTAGGCTTTGTGAGTTTTATGTTTGTTTGCAATACCTTTTATTGTGTATTTGTTTATTGTGTAGCTTTTTGTTGCTTCTACTCAGGCATAAGAATGTAGTTAGAAGTTACCCAATTTATTAATCATAGAATTATTATAACCTATTATAAGCTATTTTTTTGTTACACTGGTGTCCCCTTGTTACACACAGGATATGCCAGGCCTGGGATGGAGCCTTGTGCGAAGCTGGGCAACCTGTTTAGTTAGTTCATTGGCTTTTTTTTAGGTTAGAAATATGGGCCCACTCATTGGCATGGTGCTGAACATGAGCCTGGCACTAGTTCCCTCTAGTTGAGGGGCAGCCCTTTTCAAACCTGTTTGTTCCATGTGCAGCCATTTTGAGGCTACACCCAGGGCATTTCTTCTATTGTTCTGCGGGCTTGGTTCACCTAATTCTTGATCTTCAAAGGGGACAGTTATCTGAAATGTTCCTTTAAAATTCTACACCATCGTCCAGCTAGTGACTGCCTTCAGTTTCAGATATTCATATTGACTTGTGACAGAAGCATGAGGATTTGACTGGCATTTATGCTTGATACTGTATACAGGCATAACATGTTTTTCTGGGTAGAACATAGGTCAGAGATTCAAAAGATGATGATTTGGGGTATAACTGTGTTTCTTTGTAAAATGTTTTTAAATATATTGATGAAAAATGGTATGTAATAAGTGATGTCAAACTTCTTTTTGTTCAGGTGAGAAGCCATTCACTTGTGAAATTTGTGGCAAATCGTTCACGGCTAAAAGTTCTCTTCAAACTCACATTAGAATTCACAGGTATGCAATTTCTGTGGTCATTCAGTTATAGAATGGTTAAGGCTTGTTAGTGTTAAAAATGGATTAACTGACATCTTTGTTTAATCTATTTTTTTTAGTATATGGGAATTGGTATTAAAAAGTTTAATGAGTGTGACGTGTTTATGGTGCTCAAATATTCTCTTAAAATACTTTGTTAGTAAAGTATTGCGGTGTTAAGTATTGGAAAGTATTGCAGTGTTAAGTATTAGTGTGTCAGGACACTATAATATTCTTCTCTTTTTGCCTGTTAGATCTGTTCGTTAATGGCAATATACTTACTGCTGTATTATTTAAGAGAAAATTTTGTCGTAAGTTTTTATTTGACAGAAAAGAGTAGCCATGGCGTAAAAAGGTTATTGAAGAGTTTTCCTGTAGTCTCTTGTCTCTAACTTCTTAGATTTTACCCATGTTAACCTGATGTGTTGTATAAAGTCATGTCAGATTTGAAATCACTGAAGTACTGTTGTAAGTTTTACGTGAAAGAAAATGTTTCCAGTAAAATGTCTTATTTTATAGAGACAGACATCAAGTTAAGATGTAGAGATGTAGGTCAGGGGTTTTCGCGTACGTGTGTTTGTTTTGTTTTTAAAATCATTGATTTCAAAATCCTAACATTCTTAAAATAGTGCTTATAGTTGTGTAAAATAAGTTTTTTGTGTTACCACCTTTTTGACTGTTTTTGACCATTTTCTCTTGTCAAGATCTACTGGCATAAAATTTGTAACTTCAGTATTATGACAGGGAGACAATTCTGTTATATTTGTAGCTCTTGAGTACATAAAATATTGTTGGGCAATTCTTGAACATTAAATAGAAATAATTAGGAAGTCAAATAGAAAACATTTTTATGTGTCCGTTTTTAAGTGTTTATGATACAGGGAAAAAAAAGAGTCTTCCATTGCATAACAAGTTGCAGAAAGCAACACTTTCAAAGCAGATATTTTAATGAGATCAAATATATTCTTTTGCAGAGGAGAAAAGCCGTATTCTTGTGGTATATGCGGAAAATCCTTCTCTGATTCCAGTGCTAAACGAAGACACTGTATCTTACATACAGGCAAAAAGCCTTTCTCCTGCCCAGAATGTAATTTGCAGTTTGCCCGTCTGGACAATCTGAAGTCTCATTTGAAGATTCACAGCAAGGAAAAGCAGTTCCAGGAGGCCAACAGCGCTCCAAGCGGCAACACTCATTCAGAAGAGGTGAGAAACATTCTTCAACTGCAGCAGTATCAGCTCGCCACCTCTGGAGGGCAGGAAATCCAGCTGCTGGTCACGGATGCAGTACATAACATAAACTTTGTGCCTAGTCATAACCAAGGTATTAGTATCGTAACTACAGAAAACGCCCCAAATTTGACAACGGAGCAGGCTGCTAACCTCACGCTGCTCACTCAGCCACCCCAGCAGTTGCAGAACTTGTTGGTTTCCACTCAGCAGGATCAAGCAGAACAAATCCAAAGTATCAATATGATGGCAAACCAAATTGGGCCTGCCCAGCCTGAACAAATGCATGTTATCGCTCTTTCCAAGGAAGCACTAGAGCATCTCCGTGTTCATCAAGGACAAAACCAAGAAATCCACCTACCAGGATCTTCGCATCCAGCTCAGCACATGCCGCTCACTCAGGAATTAAGCCATCAGTCCCACTCTAGCCAAGATGCAGTCCCTTCCCATCAACTCAGTGATGGACAGATCCCAAATGTACACGTTCCTGAATCTCATCAGCAATCTCTGTCAGTAAACGAAGCATCTCATGAGCATCCTATTCAAGATCAGGCTTTTTGAAATGTTTATGTATCATCAGAAGGCTAGGCTGCAGTGCACTTCCCATCCAGGCAGCACTTACACATATCACTCTTCTTTTTGGATGGCATAGTCTGTTTGAAGATGCATTTCTTGGTGGCTTTTTTTTTGATGGATACCTTTCAGTTTTCTTATTTATTTTAGACTTTATTATTCCTGATGGGAATTTGTGCACCATTTAGTCCATACCTCACGACTCATTAATGCCTTTTTTGTGCCTCATACAGATTTACATCTACTGAACAGTTATTTGGCCCCTTACTGCATTTCAGTGTGCGTTTCCAGGGTGGTGGACCTTGGCACTTGAAAACAGTGTTTAAGATGTCTGCTGATGAGGAAGCATGAATTACCTGCACTACAGTCAGGCCTCAGATAATCACTATTTTTTTGTAAAGAGAAGACAGTTATGTCTTATGTTTAATGAGTGTTAAGGTTAACCTTATCCTTAAGGTTAACCAGGTTAACCTGTAATTTCTAGTGTTACCATTCCCTTAAGTGCATTTTCATTTATTACCAAATTTCTTTATGCTTTTGGTTGGAATTGTTGCAGCCTTTGGCTGTGGTTTGCCCTTGTATTTACTGTATGCTATGAGAGGCTTCATTCAAGAGAAATCTTTAAATCATTGCACTTAGTATAGAGGTAAAGAGATGGACAAGTTAAAAACCCAGATTGTGTTAATTCTACCACTCACTCACTGGGTGACTGTGGGCAAGTCACTGGACCTCTGTGCCTTAGTTTCCTCAGCAAGGAAGCAGGGAAAATGTTCATGCATTCTGCCAAGCACTTTGAAGAGCTTTTGACGTGGAAGTGCAAACTGTCTTTCCTGACAAAGCTCAGACTGAGCTTAGGAGCTAGTTTATAATTAAAGAGGTTTTTTTTTTGTATTTTTGGGAGCAGAATGCAGTGTTGCTCTTATTGTATGTAAAAGCTTGTAATTGTTACTGTAGAGACTTAATGAATCGCTTCAAAGCGTAGTGAGCTGTATCGGTGAAGCATATCACACTGAAGTTTGTGCAGCTCTTTTGGTGGACTTGACATGTACAGATTATGTTTTCAATGGCTGCATGCAAAAAAGAGCTGACACTCTGCAGCTTCAAGTCCAGCTGCTGATCACATCTCACTCTAATGTGCTAGTGTGTTAAAATCCAGATAAAATGCCATTGCTATTTTAAGCAATGTGCACAATTCTCACTTAAGTTTTGAAATGACTTATTTATGGTTTACATTGATATTGGGGTATATTTTGTTTGATACTGAGGACTTTAACAAATGAAAAATATAAAAATTAAGGAATTAGCAGATGAATTAAAAAAAAAAAAACTTTGTATGTTCCTGGCTTTTGGCTGACCAGCAAGTGCCACTGGAATAAAGATTCCAAAGTGATTTAGGGTGGAAGAGACTTCCAGAGAACACCCGGTCCGTCACCTTGCTCGGAGTACATTCAGTTAGATCAGGTTGTTTGGCAGTTGTCTTGAGGATCATCCTGTCACTGCACCTGCAAGGAGTGCCTGGCTCTGTCTTCCCTACAGCCTCTGGTCCAAGGCAACAGTACGATGTTCCCAGGGCCTCCTCCGAGAGCAGACCCAGCTCTCACAGCCTTCCTTTGTACCTAATGTGGTCCAGATCTCTCATCATCTTCGTGGCCTTCTGCTCTGCTCACTTGGTGTCTTTCCTCAGTGTCTGGGGGACCCAAATTCTGGGTGCTCTTCAACGTCAAAATGCAAAATATTCAGCTGGAGCTTGAAGCTGGGCTCTAGAGATCAGATGTGTCAGTTTTTTCGAAGTATCAGATCACTTCTTAGGGAAATCAATGATGAGGGGTAGACAGTGGGAATAAACCAATGCAAAAAGAAAGCATTTTGGCTTTTCAGCTTCTTCCCCTCTCAGAAAGGAGAAATACTGTTTGTGTTGTTCTCTGTGCCACCGCAGAGACTCGGCGTGCTCTGCTGATGCATTTCAGAAGCTTGAAGCCTTGATGCTGCAAGAACAATGGAAAATAAGTGAAACTCATTGTAACATCCACAAAAATCTTGCTGATTAACTGTATGAATATTACAATAAATATTCTGTTACATCCTAACAACTTTGATTTCATCTAAAATACTGTAATGTGGAGCAGGGAGCCATAAATACTGTCTTAGAAATTTACAGGAGCCTACACTGAATTCCTCCTCTGCCATAATCTTAATGTGTGAATCCCAAAGTGCTTAAAAAACTGGTTCCATCTCAAGTAAAATTCTAAGACTAGTTAATTCTAAATAAAATAACGGTTAAATACTTTTCTTCTTTTTGAACCTTAATTTGTTTATTATGAAAGGGTTTTTTTAGGATAAGTGTAATGCTGTGGTTTGGTTTGAGCTACAATCATGTAGTGTTTGCTAGCTGCTTTCCCATAACCCACAAAGCCGTTTTGGTTTTCAAATTTTCTTATGCTCTTAATCTGCCAGATCACCCACGAGGCAGTGAAGAGGGTAACTCTGTGACTAGCACAGCAGGGCCCCCACTCTGCATCGATGAAGCTGCTGGCGTGTATTTTAGCTTGCACTTGAGAAGTGAGAAATGTGTTTCTCATACTGCAAATGTTGCTTTTCTTGACGCCATTGCTTTCTTTGTAGTGAATAAATTTCTATTAAAGATGAAAATAAATCCCTGTTCCTTGTGTGCATTGTTTTAGGGCTGCAGCTAAAGTCTACGATTGCTCTGGGTTTGAAAGGAAGACCCTTCACCTGTGCTTTTTATTCTAGCTGCTGCTCAGAACTTTCTAACGACCATGAAAAGTGGGCCTTGCACGCCCTCAAGCTGTGCTTCACAGCAGCTCCCTGAATGCCTTCACACCTGGGTGAGTAAACTCCTCATGGCTTCTCATACCCTGATGCAGAAGAGTCTCCACAAATCTTACGGCTTACTGCGTGAAAATGAGGTGCAGGGATTGGACCCAAGTGTAGAAAAATATATAGGCTATTTTTGTGAGCGATTGACACTATTAGAATGCTTTCCATATGTAAGTTAGTTACTCAGTATGTTTGAATTCTTTATATATATATATGCTTTTTCCCTTCCCTTTTAGCTAGTTTTGCAAATAAAGCTTAAGTGAATTTTGTGAGGAGGGCACCCACACACTGCAGTATTTGACTCCTTAAGTTTCAGATGAGACTTTTTGCTGTCTTTGCAATAGCATTTGACTACTGTTCAGGTACCTATTCCATTTGTTGTTATAGTCACAGTTTGTCTCAAAATAACGTTTCTTGACCTTAAAAACTTGGAAGTTCAAGAGAGGACTATGCTCATTGTGCTCACATGCAGGAGCTGGGCAGCATCAGTACAACAGAGCTGTGGGCCTTGCAGTTTAGTATCCCCTTTGGCAAATGAGTATCGTGTTTAATTGCGGCTAGGAAAGCAAAGCTTCCTGCATCCAGGAAAATCCTCATTGCTGCATGTGTTTCTTGCAAGTATTGATGTATTTTGGGCTTTCTTTGCTGCTGATTGTAGTTCCTTCAGCAGCACAAGGCATTTTGCAGCAATTACCGTAGTGCCCAGGAGAGGGGAAGGGGATGACTACTCACGGTGTGCTTTTTGAAACGGATACACGTTGACAGGCTGAAGTTACGGATGCAGACCCTGGCATCCATCTTGCCAGTGGTTTTAGAAAGAGACTGGCTGGCATCTCCTCAGCTGCAGAACCCCTCCTTTACTGTTCTGTCCCGCTTCTTAGTCGTGTCCCGCCGTGATCACCAGTTCATGAGAGGCGCTTGCTGCAAGCCGGCTTAGTGCACATGGGCCGCTGTTGTCCTTTATTAATCTCGCCTTATCAAACGCAAGCACAGGAAGGTTCCTACCCCTTCGTGGTGACGGTGCAAGTGCTGGCACCTGCGTCCTGGATGACCGCCGCGTTGCTGCTCGCAGGGCCCGGGTGCCACCGGGTGACGCTGCGCAGCTTCACTGCCCGAGCAGCTTCACGCAGGGCACCCTCTAAAACCACGTGTTGTAATGAATCTAACCTGCCTTTCTGTTCTCTTTCTTGGTTTCTTTGAGATGCAAATAGCATCTGGACTGGAAGGAACTGAAATGGCAGCAGATGCAGCAGGTGGGGAGTTTGGCAAGAGCAAAACCTCTCTGAGAAAACTTTCTCTTCTCGTGTGTCAGAAGCCTCAAAGAGCACCGTGTCCATGAAAGCCAGTTACCTTCCCTCTGCAAGGGCGTTACCTTCTGCTATCTTCACTGTGCATCTTGTTGCACCTCCCTTCACTGCGATCTCTGCTCTTTCAGAATTAACGCCGCTCGTGGCAGAGCAAACGTCCCGAGGAACCCTGCCCACCAGTAATCCCCTCGTGCTTATTAAAATACTGCGAATAACCATGCAAACCACATCAGGGTGTCTCAAACAGGTAACAGAAAGGGCACAACCCCATCCATCTTAATATTTCTATATTTAACACCTTTGATAACTGTCAATAGGTTGAAATAGGTTTTAATATATCTGAAATTAAAAGGCCTCCTGAACTTCAGTTGTGGCCATCTGTTTCAAGCTAAAAATACATGACCGTAGATAAAAGTAGGTACCAAGAAGAGTACTTTCTGCAGTGTTACTTATTTTCATATTGCACTCTGAGTCTGTCACTTCTCTTTTTGAATTTACATGAGGCTGCTGTAACAATCTGGGGCTATAGCAGAGGCCATATGGTCCTGCTGCTGAAGTTCAGTGCTGCCTGTCACAACCTGCAGAGGCCGAGGTCCCCAGTACTCACGTCTGTTCCACAGGGGAGGAAGAAAGCGGCTTTCCAGCTTTCCCTTCAAATGTTCAACCACGGTACAGAAAAAGTAGCAGCAGGTTAATGCAGTGGCTTCTCGTGGTTAGCTCAAGACAAGACTTGTTCTCAGCCACCCAGATGTGTGTCTTAACACTGCCTGCTCTCTAAGAAGATTTGAATATGTTAAAAGGATTTTTTATTTTTCTTTTTACTGAAGATTTGTTTCTCATTGCTGTTATCTCTGTACTGAACTGCATCATGCAATGAAAATAGAGGCTGCAGCAAAAATGACTTCAGGATGCTGTGCCCAAGCTTCAACTCAGGGCTTCACACTATGGTCATATTTGTCATACCTAAATGAAAGCTAAAAAAGAGAGAGAAGGAAAGGAAAGAAAAAGAGGCGGTCAGTAACTTCATCTGTGACACTGGGCTGCAGCTTATAGACACAAGGGTAACTTCCAAACCGAATGAAGTGCCCAGCTGGCAGAAAGCTTTCTGAAGCCCTTGGTACTGTGCGTCATTTCTTTCTCAGTTGCAGTTTTCTACAGGCACAGGCAGTTCAGAAATATCTGGCTAAGGTGCCATGGACTTTTTTGGATTTGACAACATAGTTATGTACAAATTTAGCATTTTATAGATTCTGAAAAAGAAAAGTGCCTGTGGTTACTAAAGCAAGACCCGGTTCAACCTCTGTTTGTTCCACACATGAGCATGAAAATTTCAAGCATCTGTGGCAGAATTTCAGCAGGTTAAAGGTGCATTTTTTTTTTCTGGCAACATCAAGATTTGCTCCCCAGTGTCACAAGAAGCTTTGTGAGCATCTGTGCCTTTGATGCAATGCTCAGTTAGCTTGCTGTGAAACTGCTCAGTTACATGTGTTTTGGCATTTCATAAAATTCAACCACAAACCCGCTGTTGAGAGTGACACTTGAGTGCAGAGTGAGAGGAGCTGCACGTCCGTCCCCGCTCTGCCCCACACATGGAGCCTGGGGGTGTGAATGGAGCCACGGGGTGTCTTCACTAAATTAATAGGCGGGTATTTCCTGCAATAGGCGACACTTCTGCCCACGGATCTCATTGCCACAGACTTTTGTGCCTGCCAGGCTTTTCCACTTGCTCAATAAGCAAATTCCCTCACAGGGAAAAGACCCACCATGGGGATTTAAAAATGGAGGTACCAGCGGGTCACCAGGGGCTGGGGGAACAACAGGGAAGTGTCCATTTATGTTGCCTTGTTCTTGCATGTTTTGCTCAGCGTTCACTGTAGCAACTGTGAAAATCAAGATTCATACTTAGGCTGTTTATTTCTGCTAGGTGATCCCATCCTTAGGCCAGGGGGGTGAGATATTGAAGGACCAGGGTTCAGTTCTCTGTAAAAGCCCTATCAGCGTTTTGTTCTTGGGGCTGTTTTGTTCTGTTTTCTAGGGGGGAAACAGAAAAAAAAGGGGATTTTGTTACTTTCCATACAGCTTAAAAAACCCACCAACATAGGCATCAGGAAGTGCTAAGGCTTTTTTTCTTGGGAGAAGGTTGGGCTAAAGAAAACCCAAACAAACAAAAAGACCCGTCGCGTTTCGCTGGCAGCTCCAGTGCATTCTGCGTTGCCAGGGAGCCGCCGCTGGAGCCTCCGGAGCCGCCGCGTGCGGGGATGGCAGGGCTGGATCAGGATGGGCCCCCCGGAGCCACCGGAGCGGCTGGAGGTGGTGGGGCTGCTGCGGGAACCCGCCTTCCACGTGGCCAAGGGCACGGCGGAGGTAACGCGGGGGCGAGGAGGGGCTCGGCCCTGCAGTTCCATACGTGAGTTTGCAAAGCGGCCGCCTGTATTAAAGAACAAACAAGCAAAATATTGTACAAGCAGCACTAGGGTGTGTGGAGGGTTAAACTGCTTGTGAGTGATTTCCTTTCTATATTCTCCTCGCCTTGAAAACCCAGGCCCTGAAGCTGAAGTTCCCGAAGAAGTTTGCCGACCCTGTAATACGCCCCATGTATGAATTCGCCTGGCATGAGTATTTACAGGAGAAAAAGAAGGTAACGCTCTTGTTTACCCACGTTGTTCCTGACCCAGGTTGTGTCGGACCCTCTCATCCCCGTCCCCCTGCTCCAGGCTGCAAGCAGCACCCTTTGGAGGGGCTCTTTTCCATCGCACCTCGTCTCCACGTCCTCAGAGACCCCTGAGGCAAAGCATGGGTCTCCATGCACTTTTCCCCCCTCAAATGCTTAGAGCGTCGCATTTGTAGACCCAAGAGCAGAAGTTGGCTGCTGAGTTGCTCCTGCAGCAGTTTTTGAAGTGCCCCCCAGAAATCACCGCGCTGTCCACCCCGCGGTGCCGTGTGGCGCTGCCTTCGCTTCCCTGGGCGCCTCACGCGTTTCGCCACGGCATCGGCCTCGAGGTCGCTCCCTGTCCTTGGGCAGTGATGGCGGGGGCTGGGCGGGTGCCTGCTGGGCGACGAGCAGCAGCTGCTCCGCTGGGCCCGCCGCGCGTGGCAGCACCGCGACTTCGCGCCGCCCGCCCTGCGCCAGGCCATCGCCGAGGACTTCTGCACCAAGCACATGCGGGACAGCCAGGCAGGTGTCCCGCCTCCCCTTATTTAATCATTTTTTTTTCAGAAATCAGTGGGAAAATGGAGAGGGGCAGGGGAGAAATGAGAAGAGCAAGTAAGTCCTCTGCAGCCCGAGTCATCCATGCTCTTTCCCCAAAGAAGGGATTTTGTGGGACAGGCTGGGATGGAACCTAGTTTTAGAAAGGATAAACTACCAGGTAGCTTTAATAAGGTTGTCACTGATTTGGGAGCAGTTTCGGCATCTCTTCTATAGAGGGACAACGCTCTGTCCAAAATGGCGTGAGACTTTAACTTTTATTTATTTATTTAAAGAAAATAGTGGAAACTGTATTGTTTTGTATTGACTGTCGCGCGGGCATTTTCTGGGGCCCTTTGTAGCTGGATTCTGAATTGAGTTGGAGTGGTGACCGCTGGGCTGAAAGCAGGGCTTTATCTCACGGGATTTGCTTTTCTGCTTTAAACAGCACGTGTTTGTGTACTTGGATATAACCATTCAGGAACAGCCCATCGGGAGACTTTTATTTGAGGTATGTTACAGGGGAGAAAAGCAAAGAGCAAATAGAACTAATGCTTCATTTGGCTTAATTTGCCAAAGAAGGGGGAACAGAAATCTGGCTGGCTGACAGCCATTAATAATTTCACGTATCTTTCCTCTCTCGGTTTTGCAGCTCTTTTCTGATGTGTGTCCCAAAACGTGTGAGAATTTCCGTGTTTTGTGCACGGGAGGCATCACGTCACCTTCCAGCGGTCTCCATCTCACCTACAAAAACTCAGTTTTCCATCGAGTAGTGGAAAACGGATGGATTCAAGGAGGAGGTGCGTGTCTAGATGTCCTGTGTATATGTGAATTACAGCGGAAGTGGGGCGGGATGATCCGCATGAGTAACAGTCTTCACCCAAGGAAACAAAACTGAGCTATGGGATGTAGTTCATCTCCACAGCACAAGCTCTAAATTTATAGAAATATATATGTAAATGAAAAACATTTTCTCTTCATCCAAGACTTTTTTTCAAAAGATCTTTGTTATTTTGGATTTTAGAATTTAGGCAACTAATTGAACACAAAACACTTCAAAGTGGTCATAAAGTTCTTAGGTAATTAATTGGGACACTAACGGAAACCATTAGAGCACTAAAAGCATACACAGGAAAACCCCCTGCTTGTTCTATAGAGAGCTTAGTTCACAGAGGCGCTTAGCCAAGCCTCAGAGACGCTCCAGGTGTTTGGGGACGTTACCTGAGTGCTGGCACTATGCCCAGAGCTGGGTGCTACCTACGGAGGAGAAAGGCGTAAGAAGTGACTCATCACGTAGCTTGTCCCACCTCACCGGGAAGCCAAGTGAGGTGTGCCGGGAAAGAGAAAGATTTCCTCCTTTCCTTCCCTCCAGCCTCTCGTGGGTCTTGCCTGCCCCTACGTCTTAACCTTTCTTTTCTCCCTGCTCCAAAAGCGAGTGCTTACGCCCCACTGGAGCTTTCTGTTCAGCTTCCATGCTCTCTGCTTGCTGTGAACACCCACACAGATATTTATGTGGCCCATAAAAGCAAGTGGAGATTATAAGCTTGCTGCTGCTGTAGGGGATTACCCTGAACCAAACCTGTGTACCCCACTGTTTCAGTAACAAAGATGGGTTTATTTAAACCCTCATTATATAAAAAAGCAAAAAACAGACGCTTCAGTTCTCTGTGGTGTCTCACCCATCAGAGTGCTACTCCCACAGGAATTACTCATTCGCCAAATCTTCCTCACATCAGCTGCTAGCCGTAACACACTGCAATATCACAGCCTTGTTTCTATCTTTCCTTGCCCTAAAATCTTCCCCTTCACAGGCGTCCTTGTCCTGGCACGTGCTGGCTAAGCCCGTGAGAAACCCCATTTCTGATGGCTGCTTTTATCTGCCCTGCAGACATTGTAGCCGGAAGAGGAGACGGAGGGGAATCGATCTACGGTCCCACCTTTGAAGGTACGTTTGCCCAGGTATCTCCCCGTGCAAGTCTCAAATTGCAGCAAAATTCAGGTTATTCATCCAACCTTTTTCTCAGGATAACCCAGCACTTTTCTTTCATTTCCTTGAAGGAAACGCTTGGATTTTCAGCCAGCTTTTTTCATCATTTGCATTAGCACTATCAGACTGCTTTAACGGGAAGCTCTGGGACTTGTGCCTCTGACGCACGGTGCCCAACCTGCCACTCCCCAAATCCGCGTCCATTTGCCCTATCACCCTGTGAGTGACGGCTGACGTCCAGGCGCCTGTTTGCTTCAGATGTAAAACCGTGACAGCTGATAGCTGTCGTGGAAAGGCCAAGTGCTGTGAATAACTATAGATCTCCAGGCATCTGACAGCACTTGTTTAAATATGTTTTAAGTAATGGAAGTAACTCATTTTAACTCTAGATTTGCTGGCACCCAGGCAGCTTTAGGGCTTAGGCCCACCTCAGGGGCCACCACCATCTCTTATGTGACTCTGCTGATATAAGTGGAGCTACTAAATTGAGTTAAGTACCAAATTCCACTAAATTGAGAAGACCCTTAAAACTCTGAAAGTCAAGAAATGACAAATGTGAGGTAAGTTCAACATTAAGTGTTCCCCCCATGCTGATATAAGCCAATAAAATGTAAAGCAAAAATAATGTTATACCAGAAAATATTTAAGAGAAACAGTTCCTCTAACTGACGCAGACATTTGGGGTATTCAGCTTGGTTGAAGTGCTGTCCATAAAGATGGTTTATGACAGGTAAAGCACTTTGGAAGCTGATTTATATTCTCTTACGTAAAAGCTTTCCTCCTGCCAATGTTACAAGCGCCATTATGTTTGAGCAGGCTGGGCAGCAGCCAGCAGTGCGATCAGAAATGCCAAGCGTAGCCGAAAACTTTATTTCCAAAGACATTTAAGAGTCGGCATGAGTGAGGCCCCGGGATGGAGCCAAAGCAAACGACACGCAGGTCCATAAGGCGCTTTGGACAGGACATTTCCCCCGTCCTGGCCTTGCTGAAGCTCTGGACGACGCTTGAGCTTCTCATCTGTCACCGAGGAGAGATGCTGGAAGGGCTGGAGTTTCTGCTGCTGCCAGAGCTGCAGTGAGAGCGGGTCATATGTTTCAAAAGCACCTCCATAATGGGGTTTCAGGAGAGGTTTAGACTGGGATTCCTCAACCCTGAAAGTGTCCTTGGAAGGATTTTACTGCCCGTACTGCACCCGCTACAGATGCTGAGGTGTCAAAACAGAAGGCTGCCAGTCCTTCCCTTTTTAATTAAAAGCTACGTGTTGCTTTTCAGCTTGTAGACAGGGAGTTCTCTTAGCTACTCATTTTTAACTTAAGACGTAGATTGCTCCCCTAGCACTTCCCACCAAGTTACTTACACGGAGGGCAGAGGACAAACATCTTCGATGCCTGAGAACAGTGACAGATGCCCCTGTCAGATGGCAGCTTTCCATGAAGCTCTACACTTGGCGCATGTCCCTAGGCCACAACACTTGCTGAAATGAATGGGCCACAACAGCGTTTTACTGTGATGAGCTCAGAGCACTGAGGTAATCTCGGAGAGCCATTTGGCCTGCAGCGTCCTCTCACCACACGGAGCGCCCGACTCCAAAACGAGACAGTTGTAGCCATTTTGCAACCCACAGATCTGCCTGGGGGGAGCTGTCTGCTAACATTTAATTACGGTTCCTCTGGATTGGTTTCTGAGGAGGGCCTTCAACCAGGGCAAAAATAACCCCTCAGAATCAGAGGATAATAAAATTGAAAAATGTTCATAATTTCCTTCAAGCTTGGAGGGCTCAGCAAGAGGAGCACCACATTGCGGGTCAGCAGTGCAGGGAAGTGTCCCTGGCCCTGATTGGCCCTCTAATATTTGAGTCCCCTGCTTGCCTTGTCCCAGCTGGGAGTCCAGCCGTGCAAGTGCATGCAAGGGATCAGCTCCTGGCCTTCATCCCCCAGAGACAAACACAGGGGGAATCATCCCTAAAGCAGGAATAATCCCAAGGAGCCTCAGGGAACAATCCTGCTAGATGCCCTGAGCTCCTCAGGAAAGAGAACTTGCAGGAGGACACGGGGCTGAGGTAGCAGCGCTGCTCTTCCAGGATTCAGGAATACTTAGAGCATTTTTGCACGAGTTTTTTTCACTTATTTGTTTCCTGGCATGAGAGCTCTGTAGTGCAGGAAGTACTTTCTGGACATTGATTCCAACCCAAGAGTGACTTCACTCATGTGGGACGGGTTGATGGGAGACTGATGGAGGAAAAGGAGATGGAAAGTGAGGCAGGGCAGGAAGGAAACGAGAGAAAAAGGAGCTGTAATAGTGACTACAAGCCAAAGAAGCAAGTGCTTCCTGGCAAAGTAATTCCTTTTTTTTTATTATTATCAATCTCTTTTCCTAGATGAAAACTTTGCCATCCGTCACAGCAAGAGAGGGATTCTGGGCATGGCCAACAAGGGCCGCCACAGCAACGGCTCGCAGTTCTACGTCACCCTGCAGCCAGCTCCCTACCTGGACAAAAAGCACGTGGCTTTTGGGTACGTACGCACTGGGCTGCCCTTGCTTCAGTGCTCGGGACGTGAAACCCTAGCGCCAGCTGCAACGCGGTCGTCGTCGCTGGCCACGGAGATGACGGATTTAAAGCACCTAGTGGTGCTTGTCCCTCCCTCCCTCTGCCTGGGCGTGAGCTGCTCGGGCTGAGGCCTTCGAGCCGAGCTGGGGCAGCTCCCAGGGCAGGGCAGGACGGTGCGGCGCTGCCTGCCAAACCAAACTGCGTCCCGGCGCACGGGCTGTGTCGAGCAGACGCCTTCAGCTGCCTCCCATCTGCCTCGAGGAGCTGAAAAATAGTTACTCTGCTCAGTATGTGCCAACAGTTTTTCACGGTAGGTTGAGCTATAGGGCTGGCCCTGTTGAAGACTTTAGACTTTTAGGAATGTGCTAGGGAAGATTTTGGTCCAAGAAGTTTGCTTGATATAAAAGGACAAAAAAATGCATATATTGCCACATAGAAAGAAATATGCAGCAGAGTTTCCACGTAACCACATTACAGAGAAAGCCAATGTTTTTCAAGGCAGTGAAAAGTGTAATTATCTGACCTCCACAGAACAACCCCAAAGTGAACCCTGGCTGGATATAGTCACAGCAAGTGGCATTTGCCACAAGTGAAGGCACAGAGAAGCTGAGCACTGAGTTTACAACAGGCTTAGCTTGCATAGAGATTGGCCTTAGGCAGTTCAGTCCAGTGACTATTGGTGACTACCTAATGAAGGGACAATGTCCCTCTGCAACTCCCTGAAGCGGGAAGTTTCCTTTGGAGAGCAGGATGGATATAGCCTGTCGGTAGGAAAACCACCGTGGGATTTTGTTGCAGCCCAGCATCAGATCCAGGTGCCAGCAGCAGCTCACGGGCCAGGTGGCCAAGGCAGATGGTGTCACCGGCTTTGCTGAGCAGTTATCAAAGCCAGAGCAGGACTCAAAACTTGGGGCAAACCTGGGAGGGTCGTGCTGGCATCCCCCACACCTGATGATACCCTTCTCACCATGCTTGTCTCCTGGTGCAGGCAGCTCATTGAGGGCACGGAGACTCTTCAGAAACTGGAGGCCGTGTCCACATACAATGAGAGGCCTGTTGAAGAATGTAAGATTGTTAACTGTGGGGTCTTTGAGCCATGACTACGAGCCCGGTCGCCTTCATATGGAAAGGTAGATTGCTATTTTCCTGCCTTTTTTTTTTTCTTTTTTTCCCAAGAGTTTGAAAGCTTTTACTTAGAAAGTCAATAATAAAAACATTTCTTGTGCCTTGTGAAGTTTTTGGAATCATTCCTCTGACTTAAAGGAATGTTCACAGCTTGTTAAAAACCCTTTTGCCCAAGTATCCCAAGGGACCTGCGCGTAAGTCCCAGAGTCAGAGTCCAGTTTATGGAAGATTATAATAATATGATTACTGAGTGACAGTCTGTTATGACAAGCAGATATGACAAAATGCATGTACAGCAAAGCTGAGGCTGAATGATGGATTCACACCTCTGAAGATAAAGAGCTCTTGGCAAAATCCTGATCTCCACGACACAGCATGTCGTTCAGCGTGGTGCAGTGGTCCTGCTGGGCGCAGCACAGTTCAAATACCAAATGCAGGCTGGATATGAGAGCTCAGACCTCTCAGAGGAAAGGAAAAGAGGGTCTGCAGGACTCACACTTCTCTCAATGTCACGCATTTAGCCTTGCACTGCCCACAAGAAACTAAATGTGACATTGTTGAAATCAGGTTGGGCTGCATCAGGCTAAATCCAGGGAGCATTAGAGCAGGACTCACCTTTGAGTACTTATTTTTGACACGTGGTATCAGATGACAAGGTTTAAAGTGATTAGTACTGCTAAAACGAGAAAAACATTGTTTATAAAATTACTCCAAAAGAGGAACCATTAAGGCTGAACGTGGATGCAAGTGTATAACATTGCATCCGGTGCCAGACCTGATTTCAGCGTGCAGAGCTCGAGCATCGATCGTTCCGCAGTGGATGGCAGGGAAGCATTGAGAGGCTCAAAGACTTGTGGAAAATGAAACTGCAGTCTGGAAGGAGAAAGCAGAGCAAAGTACTTCGGAAATTCAAAGGAAGGAGCGTTCGTCAGGATGCTCGGATGCAGCATAACGCTAAATCCTGCTGTGTCAGGGCTGTGCAGGCACGGGCGGCTTCCAGGTGCCTCCTCTCCTGCCGGAGCGATCTTGAGCGACCTTTCCTCTGCACTGAGCTCACTGTGCAGGCCACTAAAATCCACAGGGCAGGGCAGAGGTAACACGGAAAAGACTCAGATAGCAGAGTACTGAAATCAGTTTTTGTCTGGGAAAGCCCAACCATTTCACGAAACCTAAGTAACATGCTTAAGTTTATTTGTGAAATGCAAATGAATTTAACAGATCACTTAGCAAATATTTAACTTCCCTTAATCATCTTAAATTTTAACAGGGGGATTTAGATCCTTACTTATGGTACAAAAGAGATTCTTTAATGTATCTGTAACTAAACAGTTAAAGAGCCTTATAACACATTTTTATTTTGTTTGTTTATTTTATTTTATTTCTAGGGTATTTTATTTTCTAATGCATATACTACTTGTATAGAAACCAAGCCTTCTGTAGGAGCACTTCGAAACAATTACCTACAGAAAAGTCTATAATGAACTAAATAGATTCTGTGTATCTCAATACAGAATAATTATTTTCACTTCATAGTTCTGTGGCAAAATAGAAAATATGGGGAGGCATTTCCTTCAGATAATAACATACTTCCTGGAAAGTTATTTTTCATAAATATATAAATGCAAGAGACACATATTTGCTACAAAATGATATGGCTTAGGAAGCCAGCATTGGGGTGGAGGTTTAGGGGTTTAAAATTCTGGTCAGATGTTTAAAGAGAAAAGTAAATTTCAGTTCTGCAGATCAAAGGAGGCAGCGCTGAAAGAGGCCAATTAACTCATTTCTTATTAAAAAAAAAAAAAGTAATTTGTTGCATTGCGCCTATTTGTCTTCTGCGACACCACCTTCCCACAACAAGCGGACGTGTTTCCCTCACCAAAACACGTACACATTTCCAGCAGCGTGTTCCCTGAGGGAGCAGGCGAGGGAAAAAGAGACACTGCCCTGACCCACGCACTGCCTGAGTGCAGCATGGGGCAGCCACACGGGGACACTCTCTGGAGCTGCCTCTTGGCCAGGAGAGGAGAACCAGGAAACGGGCTGAATTTCAGACATAACGGAGCTCCGGGCGAGCCACGGTGACTGCACTGCGTCGGCCGGGACTGTGCCAGCACGACTGTGGTCACAGATAGGATCCCGGCTTGAGGAGGGCGCCTCAGAATCATAAAGTCACAGAATGGCTGAGGTTGGAAAGGACCTCTAGAGATCATCCAGTCCAACCCGCCTGCTCCAGCAGGGACACCCAGAGCACGTGGCACAGGGTGGCGTCCAGGCAGGTTTGGAAGATCTCCAGAGAAGGAGACTCAGCAACCTCTCCGGGCAGCCTGTTCCAGGGTTCTGGCACCCTCACAGTGAAGAAGTTCTTCCTCACATGGAGGTGGAACTTCTGTGTTTCAGCTTGTACCCATCACTCCTTGTCCTGTCACTGGCCACCACGGAGAAGAGTTTGGCCCCATTCTCCCTACATTCTCTCCTCAGGTATTTGTACCTGTTGATAAGATTCCCTCTCAATCTTCTCCAGGCTATACAGGCCCAGCTCGCTTAGTCTTTCCTCATATGACAGATGCTCCAGTCCCTTAATCATCTCTATGATCCTACGCTGGACCCTCTCCAGAACCTCCATGTCCCTCTTGTACTGGGTAACCCAGAACTGCACTCTATACTTCAGATGCAGCCTCACCGGAGCTAAGTAGAGGGGCAGGATCCCCTCCCCTCGACCTGCTGGCAACGCTCCTGCAGGATCCCATTGGCCTTCTTGGCCATGAAGGCACAGTGCTGCCTCATGATTAACTTCTTGTCAACCAGAACTCCCAAATCCCTCTCCGTGGAGCTGCTTTCTAGCAGGTCAATCTGTACTGGTGCCTGGGGCTATCAAATGAAAACTGGAGCATGAAACCATACGCTACAACACAGTTTTTCAGTCTGAGATCAGGTGGTTTCTGAATCCGATCCGGGAGGGCTACCAAGGCCAATGGGAATTACTAGCACAGTCCCTCTGCTGTGTAGGTGCTCAGTGCTTGCCCTCGGCCTCCACAGCACAACTGTTTCTTTTAGCTGCAGCAAGTGGGCAATATATGTCCTGCAGCGCTCCCAGACCGGCGAAGATTGCTCAGCTCTCTCTTATCAGCCTCCGGCCTTGAGCAAAAGGCCGAGTGCAGGGCAGCGCGCTGCAGCCCTGGCTCTGTTTTGTGGAAGTGCTGAGGGGAAGCCGCATGCTGCAGATACACTGAAGTGGCTGCTGTTTGTGTATCATGCTGCTTCGGGAAGACTCAATCTAAACATTAGTCTTATTTTTCTTCTATTACCTAAGTCAGCCTGACTTTCTTCTGTGGCTGGTTCTTGCTGTGCAGGTGAGGAGCTTATTCCCTCTGCCACATCTTGCCTATTTTCTCCCTTGACATCTCTTTTTGCATTGCCTTAGGCCATACACCCCTCTCAGAGGCAGAGGATGTCCATGTGGGCCACCCGCAAGGCTGCTGAAACCACCACAGAGCCGCCAAGTGTCCAAGTGGATGGTACCTCCTCTTCCATTACAATGTGGATTCGCCCACTGCTAACAGGAAGACACTGTGGAAGCTGCATGTAAGACACTTCCCCCTAATTTCCTATCCCTGGTATCTTCCTGCTGTATTTTCAACAAAATACATTCTTAATCTGGTCTCTAACTATGTAATATTTGTTGCCTATCACTCTCTTTTCCAGAAGCAGGGCCTAGGTGTGTAAGCTCCAGGGAAAAGCCACAGCTCAGCTGGCCCAGCTGCTTGCTCACCAAGAGACTGTATGTTGGTTTGTTGAAACCCATTTGATCTCAAACCTGGTATTATTGATCTCAAACCCTATATATTATAGGGCCATCTGGGCTGGAAGCTTCCCTCCCCTTGCAGGGATTAGTCACTTTCACTGTAGAATATTAGTGACTGTGTATAAAACACACACTCTGTTTTGTAGATGTCTTGATTGCCACAACGCAGTGCCTGCATGGCCGTGAGGTGAAATGGTAATTTTGAAAAGAAATACAAATGTTTATAAATGGAACCAAAGCGATAAGTTCCTTTTGGATTATCTACGAAAAAATTCTTGTTCATTGCTATCCTCCCTGACTTTGCAGTATGTTACTCCAAACCTCTTCAGAAGCCCAGTTATTCCATCATTCCTAGCACGAAATCATTGAGATTCCTGGGTATTTGCATTTAAAAATTGCTTCCCTAAAATGGGCATCTGCAGACTCTTAGTTTTTATCCATATTTGCCAAGTACTTTACATAAATTTCCAGTAATGCAGTGCCTGGAACTCCTTATAAGAAACGTTCTGACATTCAACACAGAGGTAAATGCCTCACTAACCACTAAGCATATAACAGTGCAATGAAAAAAAAAAAAAAAAAGAATACAGTGATGAATCTGATGTTTTACATCCAACAACAACAACCAGAGCTGCTGTGATCCTGCTGACTGTATTCCTCAACAAAGTCCTGAGATGCTGACTTTAAGAAAAAAAAAATTAGACAGACCGCATTTATCATACCCTTGGATTCCCACCAGCCCCTCGGATTACATGGTAGACATGTTTTCACTCGCTTGTGGAGGCAAGTTGTGGCTGTAGTTCTGGCCCTGCTGGTAATCTCAGTTCTGTTTGTATTGTATTGTCTACTTCATTTTCTCCCTGTTTTTCCATACATATGTATGCTATTCAGCATCTTTTATCATTTTCATTTACCATGTGCCTTGTTTGTTTTCATTTTAAAAAGGCCAAAGCTTTCATGTTGCTGCAGTAATCTAGATTGTAGCAACTGTGATTCTTCACGCTAAGCCTGCGTCCAGCACATCTCATAAAACAAAACATTGTATTAGTTGCTGAGAACGCTCATAATACAGTTATTAAGATAACCCCCAAGAACTGCAAGAACGAATAGCTGAGTTCAAATGTCTCACGTCAAGTGACATCACAGGAGATCCTTTGAATCAAGCTCTGGTCC